AAGCGTTCTTAATCTGAATATTTCCATAAACAAGGCTGGAATCTGTTACAGTGGAAAAAACCTTTCTCGTGCGGAGGGATAAGATATGAAGCATAGTTTAACCTCAGGAAGCTGCTTTCTTATCTCCCTCTGTAAGGAGTGGAGCTGAGAAGGCACCTCTGGAGGACAGTAGGCATGTAAATTACATTCTTCAATGCAATGCCTACAGGTGCTTCTCTATCAGCTGCAGAGGTGGGTGAGCACTGTTAGTGTTTGCATTGGGAATTAACATGGTGTAGACAGTACACTGATTTCATTTCAATCTGAAATCTCCACTGCTGTGAGTTCCTGACAGAATAGCCTGAAGAGGCTATTTGTTGTGTCTTCTGGTGACCAAGGTGTTCCTTCACTGATAATTTTGGGGGTAAGTGGTAGACGGAAACTTGGACGTGAGCTGGCAACGTGCCCTCTCAGAACAGAAAGCCCACTGTGTCCCAGACTGAAACAAAAGAAGCATGGCCAGCAGGGCAAGGGACCTGATCCTGCCCCTCTGCTCTGCGCTACGAGACCTCCCCTGCAGCACTGTGTTCAGATGGGGAGTCCTTGGCTCAGGAGAGTCATGGACCTGTTGGAGTGCGTCCAGGACAGGGCCTCAGAAATGATCCAAGGAGGATCTGTTGTGTTAGGACAAGGGGAAATGGTTTCAAACTAAGAGGAGAGATTAAAAGTAGGAAGGAATTTTTACAAGATAAGGAAGAAGGTTTTACGATAAGGGTGGTGAGGTACTGGAGCAGGAAACCCAGAGAGGTGGTGGTTGCCCCATCCCTGGAGACATCCAAGGCCAGTCTGAATAGGGCTCCGAGCAAACTGATCGAGCTGTGGATGTCCATGTTCAGTGCAGAGGAGCTGGACTAAATGACCTTTAAGGGTCCCTTCCAAATCAAATGATTCTATCATTCTGTAATGATTCTATGATTCAGTGATCTGTCTTCCTTCTTCCATAAACATATTTATCTCCATTAAAATAGATTCATGCCTTTTTTTAAAGCATAAACTAATGAGCGTCACCCAGCAAACAAATAGCAGACATTTCAAATCCCCCCGTAGTCACTAGAAAGGGACTTGCAGAAGGTGACTCATTACACCCTTATATGCAATCTGGTAGATGATCTGTGCCCTAAAAGTATCTCTTTATCTCCTCTGGCTAGGGAGGGGGTCTACTCATCCATCTTGATGGAGACATCAATGGTGCAAATGGCTAAAGTTAAGGAAGCTGAAATCTCACACCTGGTAGGAACTGGGCAGGGGACTTGCACTGCAAATGTGGATTCGAAAGAGGGAAAGTTAGGAAAGAGGGGGAATGTTTCATAAGGGAGGTAACGGTAGGTAAACCAGCTCAAATGCAGCCTTCTTGGTTCTGTGGTAAAGTCACAGAGCTCCATTTCTTTAAAGGAAAATCCTGAATGCAAAATGACAGGAGAACATAGCGTCTGATTTTGTAGGTATTCTATGTGAAAGCATCATTTTGGTATGTGGCCATTTGTTTTTAAATAGATTTATATAATTTTTTTTTAATTAATCTGTGGCTTATGTTACACTTGGCTCTTGAGTATTTTCCTCTAAATGGAATTACACATCACTGAGAAGGAAATTTGGCTTTTTAAGCAATGGTGGACATTCAGACTCCTTTGGCTGGAACTTTCTCAGCCTTTCCTTTTGTTGGATTGGAAGGGCTATGGAAAATATCCTCTCTGATAATAACTGAACTGGATGATCAGCAAGTGTCCCAGTCTTGGACAACACTGATAAAAGGCCTGGTGGGAATCTTAACTTTAGTAATTTAGAACTCATTTGATTTGACTTATGATCTTAGTGTAGAACTGGTCGTTGAGATCTTTGTTGGAATTCTCGTGAGTAGAATGGAAATTATCTGTCAGCGTTGATTGCTTTTTCTGACCTTGTGATGAATGGAACATTTTGACAACTAAAGAAAAATATATATCCTTTTTCTGAATGTTTGCACTTTAAAAAGAGAGAACATCAAGAAAAAGCGGCAGATGATAAAGTGCTGGGATGAGGAACAGGGATTTGAGCAAAGAAAGTCATAAGAGGACTTTGGAAATGTGATTTTAGAGAAGCACTGAAGGAGGGTGGAAAGAAGAGTAAGTAATCCAGGTTGGGAAACTGTTCCAAGATTTGAGATAAGTTCTGGAGATGGAGAACACAGGTAGTTAACATCCAAAAGCTTGGATTTGAAGATGCAGCTGATGTAACAGGAGAGACAAAGGTACTCAGCTGGACATCAGGAAATAAAACAGTGGGGCCAAAATCATGATACTACAGGGAGCAAGTGATGCTACATAGTGAGCAGAGTCAAAGGTCGTTTTTTTCCAGTAGTAGCTACAGTGGATTTTTTTACCATAATAAAAGGTAATCATAGAATCATACAGAATCACGGCATCATTTAGGTTCTAAAAGACCCTTAATATCAAACTGGAAGTGAAGGACATATGGGGACATATGTAGGGAGGAGATCTCTCTATCTCAGAAGCAGATACTGCAGGCTTTCTTTCCACAATATTCTTTTTTCTTAGCAGGATCACAATTTTAACAATTAAAAATTAGTTTTAGATTGTAACTCTATGATGGGCACTTTGCTGCTGAGGATCACTGTAACTGGAAGTTCTATAAGCATATTTGCTCTCTATTTGACCTTAAAAGAAGCACTTGTGTGTGGTTGACAACTTTAATTTATTCTGCACTGCATTTCAAATCCATGGAAGCAAGTGCTAATATGCAAGTATAATGGGAAAGAAATTCCTCTCATTTAAATGACTGAGATCTGGTACCCATCTTGTGTGAATGAAATTCAGCTGAATGAAATTCTTCCTTTTGTGAGTTTTAATCCCTTCCAGGTTTGACTTGCAAATATATTCAGTGTATTCCTGTAAAATGAATACCAAGATGGAAAGGTCATAGGAGCACAGTCTAGCTTTTATCTTGTATTTGACCCTCACCTAGCATGTGTCTTGTCCATGCCTACAGCTCCTAGGCACTGCTGCTGTGCAGGGTAAGTGAGGTAAAGGAGATGTTCTTCAGGAGAAAACCTGAATTTCTCTTTTCCTCTTCAGCACTAAGGTGTAGTTTAAATTAACGACCCTTGGTTTCCCCATATAATGTCAGAGAACTTTGCCCTCTGCAAAACACTTTGAGACCCATCAGTGAAACTGTTCTTTGAAATAATAGATTTTATTTTCTTTTTCCCCCAGTGATATTTATTCCCAATGGTTCTTTTTTTTTTTTTTAACTGAAACTCTTGCAAACAACAACTATGGCAAGATCTGTTTACTGAACTGAACCTGAAATATTGGGAAAAGCTGAAAAGAATAAGGCAAAACGACATGACCAGGATTGTGTGTGTTTGGATGAGGAAGACATGGCTCTTTTTTGACCACGTTGGTCTAGCTTCTTTCCTTTTTCTTTGCTTATGCCTGTTCCCAGGTCTGCTTGTTCAACACCATAAGGAATAAACACTCTCCTTGTCGAACCCCATAAAGAATAAATACGGCAGGTCTTGCAACTGCAGTACTTCAGGCATTTATACAATAAAAAGTCCTAAGCTGGTACAAAGGGCAGTGTTTCTACCCAATTGTGTTACTTGCAGGGACGAATTTATATAGATATAAATTATTATGTATGAGCACTGGGAGAGACATTCAAAATAAATACAGGGAGCTGAGGGAAGCTTAGAGGTACAGCGAAGAATGCAATGCTATGCGTTTATTTATTCATCAAAGAACTGGAACATGTGAAATTGCATAAAATGCAACTACTTAACACCTCACCATTTTTTTTTCCAAAACCCAGAAAGATTTCTGATAAACGAGACTTGTCAGCAAGAACTCTCACAATGTCTCCTGGGCACAGTAATACAGAAAGCAAGATGCAGGGACCTGACTCATCCCAGAAGCGATCCCATCCATTTACATTTCTATGGCTGAAAGTCTCACTGCGATGCTCTCACATGCAGCACTTGAACAGCTGCCGTGGGCAGTGGTACTTCGTTTGGCAAACAAAATACCCCGCATAGGAAAAGGTTCAGCCTTTACAGTCAAAATTATGTAAACAGAATGAAATCAACTGAGAGTGAAATATTTGTTGAAGTACTTCTGCATTAATGGGTAGAGCTGTTTGGATATAAGCATCTTTCCTTGAGATGCCCTGACCTTAGTGAAAGACACAGCTCTGCTGGAGATGATCCATTAGCTGTTAAAATATCAGTTTATCCAAAACCCTTTAGGCTGTGTCTGCTCACACCTCTGAACCTAGGTGTCACCATCAGATACAGAAGGAAATACCACATTTATCCTGAGAATATAAATTTAATCCCCCCTGAATAAAGCAGCTTAAAAGCAAACACAGTGATACATCACCAGACCACTCCTTAGTGCACACAATTGTCACAGTAAATAAGCCAAATATAAGCAGTTTTGTAATGCATACACATATAAAACAGTGCTGAATGAATTAGCTGCCTCCATTTATATTTTAAAGGTTCTGCTGCTAGGGAGGTGTGGCTGAAAGGACATTTGGTACCTTTAGTACCTATAGCAAACTTGGATGGCACATTTTAGCTAATAGCAGGGCTATCAATTTTATCTATAGAAGCAACGACATTTCAGTGTCTGTTTTTATATTTCCTAATGCACAAAATGGAAAAACAAATTCAGAAGCTGCCTGAGAAGCCCAAAGTTGCTTTGATCTGCCCACTGTTCCAGAGGTGGGTTGGAGGATACATACATTACTCAGACAAAAGTATCCCATGCTGCTCTAAATTGTCTCTGACTGATGCTTTGTGGGCACAAAACCCATTCCTCTCATTTTCTTAGAATAAAAATTCCTTAGTGCTTAACATCTTTCCTTACCTGAAAAGAGTCAGGATGTTGCGAACATCCTCCAGCAGCCACCATGAAAATGCAAATCATATTTTCCCTCCCCAGAAAGCAGAAATAGTCATTTACCTGCCCTTGTCCCCATGATGGATCCAAGCAAGAGCCACATCAAAAGGTGCTTGAGCTCCATGGGACTTGTTTACATCTTTCCTCCGTAACGCCGAGGATGGTGAAGTTTCTGAGAAGCGAAGGGTTTGTGTTGGCTGACCCTACAAGCTGTCTACTGCGTGGTTAGCCCTAGAACTACCAAGGACTAGCAAGGACTCTGTGGTCAGCAAATGGTCGTTTCACTGACTGGCTCTGCAGAGAGATTAAAGGCTGCTCCCTCTTCAAGTATTAGTAGCTTTTATCCAGGAAATCAAACTTAATGCACAGCGCCGCAGTGCGTGCTGTCGTGGGGAGGAAGTGGTTTGACACATCAGAGCTGCTAACTCCAGAGCTGTTCCTGCAGCTGAGGGCAGTAGAAGGGGCAAAATATTAGCAGGTTTCTGCAGCCTCACAGCTCCAAACATGCAGCTGAACAAGCATTTGAGAAGGATCATCACCATAGTATAGCTGTCTGGTGTATGAGCGTGGGTATTAGACACAAACTGTGTGCTCTGCCTATAGAGTAAAAAGTCCCAATGGATATTGCTTTGGCTTTTTGGAAGTCTATCTGCTCATAGTGAAGCCCCACTTCATTTGTGTTTTGATGCATGCAGCTTCTCTGAGGCAGCTGAACTCCTGAAGGAAGGACATTTGACCCCAATCTATGATCCCCTACCTATAGGAATGAGCTTGGCAGTTTTGGGAATGGCTTCTGTTGTCCATAAATTGTTTAGGTTTCATATAAAAATTGATTTAAATTGCTTTTTTTTTGCTTTTTTTTTTTTTTTTTTTTTTGCTTTTTTCCCCCCCCACTGGTTTGGATACAACCACAAGATGCACTACTTACATCTGTTCACCAGGGACTCCATGCTTACAGGTTTTCACTGGCTTTGTTTTAGTAGTGAGGGTGCTTTCATCAAATTATTTCCCATATGTAAGAGGATAATAGGAAGCACTCATACCAAAGTCCAGTGAAAGACCTGGAGAGATTTGGTCTTTGAACATCTGACACTCATAGGTCCTAATTTATCACCTTTTTCCAAGGTGCTCAAAGATATGCAACCTCATATGGGTCAACTGGGTTAGGAAAACGTATTTAGTGAATAGCACTGAGAGAAATCCCAGAGTTTTTCTCAAAACTTGTCTTTCCTCTACTAGACACTGATGATCTGCTCTTTGGGGGTAGAGGAGTTCACTTCCAATGATTTCTTCTGTTTCTTTCCTGGTTGAACTATCGACTTTCATAGCTATTTCATAGAATCATTATGGCTGGAAGAAACCACCAAGGTCACCTATTCCAACACTGACCCACCATATCACTAAACCATGTCCTCCAGTGCCACATCTCCCCTTTTCTCAAACGTCTCCAAGGACAATGACTTCCCCACCTCTCTGGCAGCCTGTGCCAGCACCTCACCACTCTTTCAGAGAACAAATTTTTCCTAAAATCCAACCTGAATTTGGAAGGTGGGAACCATTCCTGCAGCCCCCTCGTGCCAATTTGCATCCCCCAGCTATTCTAAATTCCAGCAGTCAGTACATGAGTGCAGACCCTGAGAAAAGGGCAGCAGATGCAGATTCTTCACTAGCTACATTTTTTTTCTCTTGCTAGCCAAAGTCTTTTTTTGGAAGGTAAGTTGTGAGCACTTCCATGCAACCATTTACTTTCAAACAGCAAATCTCAGCATAGGTGGATAGTAACCACTAAGATTTTATTAGAAATGGTGAGTTTTCCTCCAAGCAAGAGCACGCTATGTACTGTCAGACGGAAGGAACGGTGACCCCAGGTGGTTAATTACTACAAGCACAGTTTGCATGAGAAAGACCCGTAATTCAGCATTTAGGCTTTTTAAAGGTCAGAAAAACGGTTGCTGCTTGTGAGAGCAATTAGTTAGGTCAGCTTGGTGAAATAGGTCAGCGTGCTGAGCGATTCCTGGAAAAAAACAGCACTGCTTCTGCCAGCAAAAGTTATTCAGGTGCCCTAAAGCAGAGCTGGGTGCAGAAAGGTGGGGGGAAGGGAAGGGCAGCAAGAGCAGGGGAAAGATGTGTACATAGGAAAAAACACAAGATTCTTTTTTTACAAGAAAAATAATTACAATTGGTGTTATAATTTAGATGATTTGTAACAGAAATATGTGACAAGAAAAGAAGGGTTAGTGATGAAAAAACTCAGAAGTGGTGGAAACCTGTTCATTGCAAGGGAGTTGGGCCAGATGATTTTAAGGGTCTTTTCCAACTCAAACGATTCTCTGTTTCTACGAAACCTGGATAATGATGGAGAGAACTAGGAGTTTCTTGAGCTCTGAGGAAGGTGGGGTTGGTAAAAGAAGATGCTGGTAGTTGTGTGTTCTCAAAATGGTCTCCAGGGTTTGGCTGCTCAGAAAGCGCTCTCTTTCAGCAGAGGGCTGACAGGAAAAGAGACCACCAGATGGTCTCAGTCTCAGAGACAAATGAGGATGGCAAAGCAAGATGCTGCAAACTATTTTTGATTTTAAACAATGCCGCAAAACCAAGAGAGATGAGAGGCAATGGCCTTCAGTTGCGCCAGGGGAGGTTCAGGTTGGATGTGAGGAAAAAATTATTATCAGAAAGAGCAGGAAAGCATTGGCAAGGCTGCCCAGGGGAGCAGTGGGGTCACCGTCCCTGGAGGTGTTCAAGAAGTGTGTGGATGTGGCACTGAGGAACATTGGGTGGTGGCCATATTGGGGATGGGCTGAGAGTTGGATTGGATGAGCTTACTGCTCTTTTCCAACCTCAATGGTTCTGTAATTCCAAGATGCAGAAAAGGAGTTGTCAGAGAGCAGAATGCAGACTCAGTTCCAGCCTTTCTTAGGTCTATGCTTAACAAGGGCCAATTAAAATCCCTCAAAAATGCTCTTAAAAATCTTACTGTTTGAAGTTCTTCTGATCAGTGGAGGCTCTAAGTTCACCTACCCTGCACCTTATGCAGCTTATCTGTTGGAAAACAGCAGAATCATTCAGAAACCAGACAAAAAGCAGAAATTTACAGAGCCCTGTATCAAGATCTTCCCAGAGACACATTTCCTTTACTTCAGCATCTGAAATAAAACAGATTAGTATGAAGTTTTCAGCTGGGCACTGTTTTTTAATAAAACCTATGGTGTTGTAAGCAAAGACAAGTCCGCTTAAAGAACTGCTATGATGTTTTTGCAACATGGTCTGTTTTAAAACAGTGGTAAATATCCATAGAACTCACTAGAATAAGCAAGCTCTGTGCTTTATTTCTTTAATTCAACAGTTCCTCTGTGACTCATTCTTACCTAAACCTTCTGCTGAAGGGAGTAACATTTCATATGGTCCTTGTCAGGACATGGGGTGCATGAATAGCTAACTAAATGCTGTTAACCTGTATGTTTCTTATATTTCCTTGAATGTATTGGGAGGGTGGTTAATAACCAAAAGCTGTTTCTGTTTGTTTTGTTTTTTACTTTGGAAGAAATATATGGGAACCTCACCCTAGGCATGGGGAAGCAGTGCTACCCTATAAAAGCTGCAATTCAGATAGTCTTTGCACTTAAATCACTTTTGGCTTCTTTTACAGATTACTTACTGATTAGTATTTTCATTAAAAGTCATTACAATGACATGATAAAACAGGCTTTTGCCCCACAGATCAGCTCTAGTTTCTTTCTTTCAGACACGCTTATTTTCTGGCCCAAATCTTTTCTGCAGTGGAAAAGATACACACAAACACAATATTTTTTGCTCTACCACCACCTCGAGGTATGAAAGTTTTCTCTAAATCTGGAGGATGCTCAGTGTAGAAAGAAGCTTTAGGAACGGAAGAATCTAAAAAAAAGCATCTGCTGTCAGCTTTCAGAATTTCAGAATTAAGCCAAATGTGGGAATGTATTCACAGAGATGACAAAAATTACATGTTGGCATAAAGGACTTTCCTATCCTCCACAACAACATCCAGCTCTGCTGCAAAGCAGCATCACCGAATCATTAAGGTTGGAAAGGACCACTAAGATCGTCTAGTCAACCATCAACCCATCAATGTGAAAACATGGGGAAATCCTGGTTATGCCACATGTTAGAAATGATCATCAGAAATGTTTCCCCAAGACCTACTTATGGTGACCAATTTTTTTTATCTACTTTTTATCTCCAATAAAAATGGGGAAGAGCTGACACGTGGCACACAATTTTTGTACCTTAAGTGAATCATATTTGACAAGGTCACAGTTACAGTCAAGAGAGAACTGCATGGTCCAGATAGTTGTTGAAAGTTCTTTCTTGAGTCAGCGGAGAAAGTCAACAAGTGCAATTACAGGGTGATTCACCTCTTCTGGACATTGACATCTATATGATGAATCACCCATCCAAACCTCTCTCCATCCCCCCATCTGCAGACTATTCAACCAGCATAACCAATTTAAACCAACCATGAGCCTCTTACGTGGCTACGGCTGGGTGATGTGGATCCATCCCAAAAATCCACACTGAACTTCAAAAGGGAGCTTATATTGATTATTTATTGACTATGAACAGTCTCACCTGTCAACCGTCCTGGGCGTTGTTCGTCATGCTCTCATTAACCATTTCTTTCACTGATGCCAGTCTCCGTGATGAAGACCATAAAACTGAAGGGAACCACTGGGGTCTGGTACTCAGAGCTGGATAAAATCCATCAACTAACTCACTCCTTTACAAACCCATTATGCTTCATTTCAAAAGTTGGAGTGTACGTGAGTACTGAAAGGAACCTGATGTGCTCCTACCTCTGTCAGTTGGTATCAGGAGGGTTTCATCCTCCAGAGCAAATCCAAGAATCGACATCTCTCCTTTCTCAGTGTTTTGAATACTTCTCACCATAGCTGTCTCCATGAATATTTATTATACTATGGCTGACGGCCAACAAGTTGAGAATATGGGCCTTTTGTTCACATCCACAGAGATATAGGAAATTCTGCTTTTCTGAAACACAGAATTTGCATCAAAATTCTTGCTGTTGGACAAACAGCTTTAAGCTCCCTATGTAAAACCAGACCAGGACCAAGAGACCAGGATCACATAGTGTCCCTGAAGATCCTTCATGTGAAATAATAATAATGACAATAGTAATGATAGTAATAACAATAGTATTTTTTAAAAAGCTACCCTCTTCCCTCCCAGGTCAGTGTGTGCAAGGTCCTAAACTGAAAAGGTTCATGCAGTGTCATACATAAAACATAAGCACAACCTAGCTGGATCAGGCCATTTTCCACTAACATCCATGGATGTTACATGAGTTACAGGCTGCATCTCTGT